GCAGTTTTGCCATGGTACCCGCTACGCCATTCAATTGCAAATGTTTAATCAGACAGGTAATCGATAAAGAAGTTCCACAACCGAGTTGACCGTCATTCCATGCACGGTGTTGCGATGATGACGTCGAAGTTGCAGTAGGGTTGCAGAACAATCGGTTGGCTGCGCAGGGCCGCCCGCGACCCTTTGCTTATTTACAGAGTGGTGAAAATCCGACGATTATGGATTTTGTATTAATCAATTAATTATAACCAAAAGACAGATGACATCGATACAATTTTCCTCTTTTTTCGTTTGAAGTTTATAATGATGTCTCACATGTTTCAATAAAAAGTAAATAGGATAATTCATATTACTTTAGAAATAATTTATAGCAATAGTTTTAAGTTAAGGTATTTTTGAAGGTGAAATAAGTAGTCAAACACAAAAGAGGTTCTTTATTAACAAAGTAGACAATTGTACAGTAACAATTTATTTCATTTCTTTGATCGACCTATTAAACTAGCAGAAATCTTTGGTCTATTTATTTTTTATTCTTAAATGTTACAGTTATCTATTTAGAATAAATATTCAAACATAAGAAAGGCTCTTTATTAGTAAAGAAAATTGTCCTACAGACTTAGTTTCTTTCGTTTTCTTGATCAACCAATTAAACTAGCAGAAACTTTGGCTTTTCTTTATTATCGACAGTATGGGGGTTGACGTGGGCGTAAGCAGAGGATGTATACTGTATAATTGGTGTAAGTTCTCTGAAGATTTCCGCATTTATTGCTAAAAAAAAGGTGAAATAATAGACGAGGAGTGCAATATGCATTTCAGTCTGAACTATTATGGTCGGATGTGGTTAAATTCTCCAACAATTCATTCGATGCCCAAATTCGCGACAATACCTACACAGTCTACCGAAAAGCATTATGTACATTTTATAAGTCGTATTTACAGAGAATGCATGAAAATTTAAAAGAATTAATATCTCAGTGTGCGAGAAAATTTTCCCAGTTGAATAAACCACATACTAAAGAGAAGAATCGTTAGAACTTTGATTCAATCATCAATAATGAGATATTTTGACTAAATTTTCATGTAAACTGTTTAAATTTGAAATGTTTTTTTTTTTAATATCTGCTCCTAAAGGATTCAATCTGATTGAATTATATAATGTTTGGTAACTTTAAGGAGTTTATTATTCATGTTAAAAATAGCATGACAAATTTTATTGACTTCCTCAGATCATAACCCCAAAATTCGAGCATTTTTTGAAATCCTATCCAGTTATTTCAGTTTCTAAAATTGGCAACCTAATAAGTCTGCATGAAGGTCTAGTCAGAGACATATTACTAGCAGAAACAGGAGTTAGGAGGGGTAGAGGTAGACCTAGGTTAGATTGCTGTTCGCAGATAGTTAAGGATGTGGGTTGTTCTAGTTTTAGGGAATGCGAAGACTAGCTTAGGATAGGAAAGAGTAGAGGTACGTGTCCAACCAGTCTTAGGACTGACGACCTTATGATTATGATGAATAAGTCTGCACGCAGGCACAAATTTTCTAGCTCGCTTATATTTCCATAAACGTACATAGTAAGTTAATAACACCGTACTGAGTGTTCAAATTTAACTCCTCTCTGTCATATTTCAATAAATATAACCAACATAAAATAGAATCGATACTTAATTCTCTGTTCCAATGTTGTTTATTAAAAATGCATTAAAATTGTCTGCACTTTCTTTTTCTTTCGTATAGGCATTGTTCATCATTGCGCCATAATAATCGGATCCGGTTAAACTTGACCCTACATTTAATTCATTCATTGCAGACACACATACCAAGACCACCAATCGTTTATTGTTCGAAATGTGGTGGCTTATTTAACTTAAACATATTCTGCATGTGTGCGCTTATTATGATCCTTTATTGTTTGTTCCCAATGGAGTCCGTTGACTGTTTGTATGGGTGCACTTAAGTATACATATAGTTAATGGTTGTCATCGTCCATCCAATTGTTAATTCGGCATACGGGAGTTAAGGTCCATCAAACGTTGAAAACGGTTCACTTTTGTCGTAGGTGTGTTGTGATTGTTAAGTAGTGGGAAGTGTGCTGGTGTTAGTGTTAGAAGACTGGAAGGTTTAATGGTGGCACATGTGAGAAAATTCGTTGAGGTTAGGGAATAGTGTGCAGGGTGAGTTAAAAGTACGCCAATAGCTATTGCCCGACTAGAATATTGAGGGGGGCGGGTAGGGTCCCTAAGTGGGTAGCCACACTACCTCTTGTGGTTGCCATGAGGTTGCCCCTTAGGGCAAGAAAGGGGCATATGACGCCTTGCCGTATTTGCGCATCATCAGGAATGCCGCATGTGATCTCCGCAGGGAAAAATTATTGCTACCCCGTTAAGAATTTTTGGAAAAATGAACTTTATTATTAATTAAAAAAATAACACCTATATGTAAAATTTGTCTGCTCGTAAGTAAGATTGTGTTATTGGACTGTTTTGCAGTCAGTAATACGTTGCAATCGTTTTACTGTTGTTCGACTAGATGCGTTTGGTTTCAGTTTTGTCTTATAATAACAATATCAGGAAGTACACTTGTTGGTTCGTTGCAAATGTAAAAGATTTCGTTGAAACGACCATATAATTGGGCAAGGGGATTATTTTCATTTTATCGAGAATATTTTCAAACGGATTTGCCTCATCGAGCACCCAAAAGGTAGATTTAATTGTAAGTTTGTACATGTGATAGGTTTGCTCCTTAAGACCCATATGAAAAACCCATAAGGCAATCCTCATTTTAGTGTCGCCACTTTTTTTGGTAGGATTTTCATGAGGAATCTATGGGGAAATCCCTATATTGGCATGCCCATCTTAGCCATGCGAAGCCCACACACTACATGGGGCATGCTCTATAAATTCTAGTCGGGTGGTAAAAACTTGTGCTTCCACTAGGATGATTCACTTACATAATTTAAGAAGTTAAAATGTTTGCATTTATATACTACTAGGTAATTGATTACTTATTCAAAATAGACAAAAAAAATGCGTATCCTTTATGAAGTTTAAATATTATTTCGTATTTTGCAGGATACAAATTAGGAGTAATAAATCATAAGTCAACTAAGCTTGACATCACACGCACCAAAATTTTAGAAACAAGAAATATTTCGTTGTTTAGACTTTTCGTTTTCGCACACTTTAAACAACTGTCTTACATCATATGTAGGTGTATAGGTATGTAATTTCTGCTTAAAATGCATATATCCGCAAGGTGATTTGTGGCTCCACTGTTGGCAGCATCAATGATGTAAAAAGGTGTCACACTATCAGTCCATCGCCGCAGGCATACATATATTTATAGTAACATATTTTAGTTGAACTTTATTGTTTTGTGTTTTGATATAAGTGAAGCATCGATCTGTACGGTCTTTCGAATGCTCTCCATGTGTGAACGTCTATCCCTTTCTTAATTCTTAATTAATAAAAAGTTAAGCAATTTGCGAATTTCATCTGTTTAAGTAGGTATTAATGGTGTTCAAACGTGTGTGCTACGCTTTTGTCTTACGAATTCCGATATGCAATAAATAAAGCTTTTAGATGAAAGTTTCACTGGCTAAATTATAGCCTGTTCTTTATGTTACGTAATTTTTCATGATTTTTTAATTATTACAAAAGCAAGTAAATCTCTGAGAATGCTTATAAAAAGTAAAAGCGATTGGCATTGGTTTTTGAAAGATTTCGTAACTTGTTTTATTGTCTGTCTGTCCGTCCGCTGCTACTGTTGTTTTTCAAGTTCATTTTCAACCAGTGGCTTATATATTTCGACATATATGTAGTTCTGATGATATGCAAATTATGAGCCGAACATTCTGTTACATGCAATCACCATCTTTTGAAAAATACAACGAGTGGTATAGGAAAATTTATACACATAGCTTCAGCCATCTGTTCATTTAAATAAGAAACTTATTTAAATCAAATGAATGCAATTTAAAACTGTTGAGGATTGTTAGGCTTTACATTCATGAATTAACCTTTGAATTAACTTTATCCACTACAGATAACCTTAAATTAATGAGGAAAAATTGTTGCTGTTGTCGCTCCATCGCCGGGAATAGAACCCGGCCGCTGGTTTTACGCACCAGTACTCTATCACTCAGCTACGAAGAGGTAACAGCAACACCGACGATACTTACCTAAAAGTGTTGGAGGCAGAATTTTCTAACCAATGTATAATCATAATGGGACACTTTGAATTTTTGTAGGGTAAAATTCAATATTAATTTTTTTAATTAACTTTACTCACTACAGATAACCTCAAGTTAACGAGAAAAAATTGTTGCTGCTATCGGTTCCTCGCCGGGAATCGAACCCGACCCCTGGTTTTACGCACCAAACTACGAGGAGGTTATTTGTAGTTGGTAAAGTTAATTCAAAAAATTAATTCAATAATGCATTAAATGTAACCCTAAAGTGTCTTGTTACGCTTTGTTCAAAAGATTTTCAACGCTTGGTTAATTTAGAACAGTTGACATATTCAACACAATTTCTGTCACTGAAAAATAAAGACTTTTGGGGCGATTAAACAATATTGTAGTTACAGATTAGCTTATTTCTGAAATTTTAAAATTTAGTTTGAATTTTTAGTGCATTTGAAATAAACATCTTTTTAAGCAATTATTTTCACATCTTTATATGTAGATATATTTTTTCTGTGGTTGCAGTTTGCTTTATCGATCGATGCCAAAAGTAAGCAGTTGGGTTTAAATAAATGACGATCGAAGCAGGTCGGTCGTTTTAATCGAATACTTTTATGTCGAGTCGATAATTACACCAACACAGTGTTCACAATTGTTACCGTCACTTATACAATGGCCAATTTCCACGGTGGCTTGTGAATGTGACTCACGATAAATAGTTTATTTATCGAACTCTGATAAGAGCCGGTATAGCTTTACTAATTTTGAAAAGCTATAAATTGGCCGTTAGCATTTATTCGCTCAGTAGTTTCTGTTTGGATTGCTTCCATAGCGTTACCCCTTTGGCATCCGAATCCGGGTTACCATTGTTTCTTCACGAAAATGGCCCCGCATCAACTTCATTTCAGTTTCTTTTGGCCAACAGGTAAGCTAAATTACTACTCTTTTTAGCAGTTTAACCGTTTTGACTTTTACTTTTTACAACTAACGCTGATTTTTCACTTTTATCAAGAAATTAGGAAATACATAAGTAGATTACGTATGATTTAGGTTACATCTATTCAAAAAAGAAGAATATTATAAAAATTATAACTCTGCTTTATAGCAAGTGCTACTTACATATTCGTGATTTTCTATACTTTTTTTATATTCAAGGTAATAGAATGGATATCGATTTGTTTGAAATTAGATAATATATGAATACAGATTTTCATAATATATTGAATTCCGTATAATTATATAAACTATGAACCAAAATGTATGTATAATCAACATTAGGAACAATATCTGCATCAGTATTTTATCAATAGCCGAGACAAAAATGTTCAATCTCTCAGAGTCTCTGAAAGCGAGACTCGAATCTTCGTCTCTCATGGAGTCTCTCTGGTGTCGCTGAGAGAGACTGTCGAGAGACTGCTAAAAAAACTGTTTAGCGTCTCTGAATGAGAGACTCGACTCGCGCATAGAGAAATCCTCATTTCGTATCGAGTCTCTGAACGAGAGACTCGAATCTCTCAATAAGTGGTGTCTCGATAGACATGGTTAAAATTTTCTAAGTTCAACATATTTCAGAGATCCCAGTCTTTCTACGAGAGACTCGAGTCTCTCAATTTTTCAGTTTTATTCATTCAGTCTCCCTGTAAGAGACTCGAATCTCTGAATTAACAATTTTATCGTTCGAGTCTCTCATACAGAGACTGTGAGAGATCCATAAAAACACCTAGGCAATAACTGAGAGACTGTGAGAGATGCTCTCAGAGACGCTGAAAGACTCTGAGAGACTGGAGAGAGACTGAAAATTTTTGTCTAGGGTAGTTACAGATCATTCAGAAATAATTGTAAGTTATTTTTAATTTTTTGTGAATAATAACGTAAAATAGGTATATTTTTTTGCATATTACCACTGTCCAACATTGAATTTCCAATCTATCGTAATTATGCCAAAAGCGTTTCACAGCGCAACCACCAATTACATAATAAATTCCTTGGTGTGCGATACCTTTGTACATACGTTCATTCTGACCCAGCGGTCTGCACTGCTTGTCTAAAAACGATGACCTACTTAGATAAAGAAATAAGGTTAAAAGGTAAAGTCTTATATAACTCATAAGATGCACGAGCATTTTATGCTTCCCTTTTGTCTGGGTATAACAATTCAGTTGAACAAAATTTCACCATAACGAATACGATATATATATATGTAAAATTTGCGGTAACAATACATACATATGCGTATATGTTACATATATATATATAACCTGATCTTTTACAAAAATATGAATACCGTACTACAGTTTTTTGTACTGTAATACCGACATTTCTTTGTGTAATATATTCTAATACTGCCACATTTTGTTAATTAACAAGTCATGTAATAATTGTTCTTCAAACTATATACAAAAAAAAATAAGTTTGACGAAAATGAGAATTTTTTAGGTAGAAAAACTGCGATTAACTCAAAAAGTGCTACATTTATGTAATTAGATCTGTTATTTTGCTCGAAGAAACTTCTCCACTTTAAGTACGAAATTAAAAACTATTTTAACTACAAACGATTGAATCTCCTATCAAAATGTGTATCTGTATTTAACGTTGACGAACAGGGGACAGCATTTTCTATTCGAGCTTGCAACAGTGCAACCTTTTTGAAGTATATTCCTAACAAAATGTAAAAAAACAAAAACGTTCGTCTGTCGTGAAAATGGAGTCTCGAAGATTTCCCTCTCTTTTTTCTGAGTATGTGTTAAGTGTCCCCCCAAAATTATTCCAGAAAAAACGTATATATATATACACGTTTGTATAACTATAATTACTATTAAACAATTATCCTTTTTGTGATGTAATTAAAAATTCTCGGTTTTCAAATTTTTCCCTTTACTTGTGCTTATTCCCAAACTTCATGACTTATAAAGGTATTTTTTCACTTGATTTGCCGTATTATTCTCAAACCTAACAAAACCTGTTTCAACCAAAATACCATTTTCAAAGAATACCAGGATACTTATGTTTATTTTTTTATTTTATAATTTTTTTCTATTACTAAACTTGTTTTTAAAAATCGGATTTTTCGATTCTTTTTAATATACATACATATATGTTTTATATTGCATTCTCAATATTAGGTATTGATGCAAATTTTATCATTTTAATTTGCTTACGTTCAATTTTATAAAAAGAGAATCTTAAATTTATTATTCAACAACATCGCAGGGATGTTATTGCACCAACTAGTTTTAAATACGTGGGGGGAAAAAGTAAATAATTAATGCATTCGGTTTTTGTCTTCATTTTTCCAATACTTAGCTGCATTTTTTTTAACTTTGTAGACATCGCTTGCATTATCTGTATAGGTATACGTGGATATTCTTAACAAATACGTCTCAATTAAGTAGCACGATTGTGCAAAGAGAGAAGCATGTCAATGTTAAAGAATTGCTAGTTGATTTGCATAGTTATTGCTTTCTTAGTTGGCGTCTACATAGCCTTTGACTTTTACGGTAATTTCAAACTGCCCGGATTAATTAATTTATGGGACTTGCTCGTTTAATCGCAGGATCAATGAGTCTCGCCAAAGGAACTTATTATATTAGCCTCTACTAAGCAGTGACGTTGCCAGATAAGAGCAATAAAAAGTTTAAGAAAGTTTTCAAACGAAATAAACTTAAACCTCTCCTGCTCACCTAAAAATAGAATCCATGTATATCAATCGACACTTTTATATTCTGCAATACGTAATAGACGGTTTTCGAAGCCAATATTTTTAGAACGGTTCGTAATAGCTGTCAAATTTTTTTAGGTTAGAAACACTTCTCGATGGACATTGTTTTTTAGCCATACTTTTCGCGAATGAACGAACCTTTTGAAAAAAAAATATGTAGACAACTAATTGTAAGTAAATTTTGAGATTTGACACTTGAACTTTAGATATTTCAAAATAATTCCTTTAGGTTCAATACACTTTCTCATACGCTGAAACCAATTATCAAAAATTTTCTGCCATACTTCTTTAGAAACTTCTTAACTCGCTTGAAGTCTAAAGTCGCAAAATGCGAGTTCGGGGCTGTAGGGAGGGTGCTCAAACAAAATTAGACCAGGAGTGCTCAAAAAATCTTGAGTTGCAGATGTCTTATAATGATGCATCAACGCGCTAGTTCGGCCGGAAGTTTTTGAGAGACTCAATCTAATGAGGTAGTCAAACCTCTGAATACCATTTTGCGGTAATAGACTTCTCTTCTTCTTTAAGACATTCTCTTAGTTGTACTTCTTTTCACGAACCAAGATTATTCCTCATTTCCAAAAATCCATCTTGTATCTTGTTTATGGATTTAGATTCCACGTCGTAGTAAAAAAGCCAAAATTTTCCGCCACCAAGCAAATTCTGACACCATTACTTCTATTCGTTTGTAAGTTATATATATCTATATATTTCAAACAGTTTTTTAACAGCGGCTGTGCTTTCTTATTCGTCAGATAAGTTAAAATTTCCTATCTGAAACTGTTTGTACCATCGATGACAATGCTTTCTTTTGAACGTAATCATAAATCACGATGCGGTGACTGCCCTCATTTCTTAACTAAAAATTCATAAAGAAATATTGCAAGTGGATATAATTTTTTTCTTATTTGCTACTTCCTACTAATAGGATGTGCCGTTATACGTATCAGTTTGACAGTCATCCTGTAAATAATTTAAAGATATCTATCTCTAAACTTAGCTTTGCATTTTAGACTTAACAATCTCACAATTATGATACTTTATCCGCTTAAAAAGTCATACAAGTTATCAGCAAAACAATTCTTATTTATAGTCGTGTAAAATATTGTCTAGATTGTTGTTATTTTTAGTGGTAATCAAATGTGGATGTTCTACTTATCAAAAACTAATTACCTACGCTTTATTGTTTATGCTAAATTTAAATATATGTTTGTGCAGTGAAGCTGCCAACGCCGTTTCTCATTCATTTAAAGCCTTGTCTAATATATAAAAATCAAATTAGTTTTGGAGTGAACAGACCTTGAAGTAACGATAACAATTGTTTCAGTTAAAGCTGCTGCCTTTATTGTTACATTTCTATCAGTACGTGAACAATACAGAAATAACCTTTACTTTTTAATATCTTTTCTACAAAGATTAGCCGTGGGCTGTATTGAATTTAACGCCGTAATGCATTGTGTGTAGGCACTACTTTTGATATCTTGTAAGTAGTATACTTTTCGTAACGCTTAAGAATATCTGCAAAATTACTGAGTTTACCGTTACTTGATGTGTAGTCCAGGCAATATGGGCGGGTGAGTAGGAAAAATTATTCGAATTAATTTTTTTTTACGAAGTTTTGTTCGGAAAATTCTCATGAGTATTCAGGAGAATATAGGTTACCAGGAGTATTGTTTAAATCACGATTATTTTAACAAATGTCAAAAAATAACGTCTTGGCGGAAACATATTTTTTATAATCTTTCGTTTCTGATTATTTTTTGTAAAGTTAATATTTTCCGAGTTATGAATTTTTGAAATTCTGAATATATATAAAAATCGCTATTTTCTACGCTTCAAAAAGTTATTAAAAAATATGTTTTTTTAGAAATCAATATTGTATATGTACTTAATAAACTGCACCAAAGAAATCTTTCCTTTTCCTATTAATAGATTTTATATTTTAATTATTTATGAGGCACGCTTGCTGGGTGATAGTCTGCAAGGCGTTAATATAGGATGCACGTGTGGAAGAAAGAGAGCAGTAGTCAGTGAGAGTGTATATTATATGTAATATAAAATCTTTAATTAGAAAAGTTCTTTGGTACAATTTATTAAATACAGTTTATTAAATATATATATAAAGATTNAAAGTGATTTAAATGTATATTCAGACGTTCAAAACTAAGAAAATATTAAGTTAACAAAATAAACTTCAGACCTTTTTTATA